ATATTATATATAATTTTAAGATGTTTTTGTAGGGAGAGGATAAAAAAAAGGAAAAAAAAAGCTACTACCATAATATCTTTCTTATATATTTTGTATATTTTATAAAAAATCAATTTTTGTAAATCAAAACTATATCATATTAAGACGTTCAAAATTTTTCGTCATAATTTTTACATTTAATTTTATTCTTTAAAAAAATCATAATCATATGTGTGTGTGATTGGCAATGAAATAATTGAAAATTTTAATTAAAATATACCTATAATATATTCGTATATAATGACAAATAATTGAAAATTTTAATTTTAAAAATATATATAATATTTTATTGTTATATCTATATATCTATATATATTGAATCGTACTTATTAAGTGATATTATAGAATTATACATATACAATTATTTGGTGATATTATAGAATTTTAGATAAATAACGATATAAATTGAATTAAAGTGTGTATATATATACACACTATTGTTTTATTAATTAAACATTATATTCACATTAATCTTATATGAAATTCATTTTAACATTATAAAAATTCAAATACTATAAGGAAAAAATTATAATCAATATTTAATATTAAAAAATAAAAATAAAAATAAAAATAAGTAAAAGGGAACAGTGACATAAAAATTGAACGGGTATAGTCAATATGCAGTGCATGTGAAATGCCCCGAATTTTTATTTTTAAAACTTTTGAATTTTTATTAAATTAAAAATCAGAAATTTTGACCTTGTGGATTGCGAATACAGTCTCGATTCGAGTCCAAATTTGCCAGTTGGGCCCAAGCCCAAAAATATATTATCGGAAATTTCGATTTGAGAACACTTAAAATTTTCGAGAAATAATATGGAACTCTAGCTACTAATCTATTATATATAAACACTTAAAATTTTCGAGAAATAATATGGAACTCCAGCTACTGGTCTGTTATAAAAATGTATGTGGGTGTAACTACGATATAAATTAATTATCCTAAAATCAATTATTATTATTATTATTGTTTTTATTATTATCGAGTAAAATAAGGAAATGTTCTGAAACCTAACTAAAATAATCAAAATAAATCGAATCGGACCCGAAAATCAAATTGATTTTTCGAACCACACGAATAACCTGAAAAACCAAGTGAAAAATCTACAAACCAAGCAAAATCGAGCCAAATCGTTGAATCAGATCAAACTGATTTAAATCGAATCGGAATGATCTAGAAACTGACTTAGTTTCTTCTTTTCTTCCTCTCTTCTTCTTCTTCTACGGGAGCGACAGCCTCCTCTCGCACGGACAGAACTTCAATGGGAGCGAGACGGAGCTGTTCTCCTTGACAGCTCGTGTTCACAAGTTTTCGGCGATCCACGTCGATTTCGGCAGCTTGAGGTCGAGGGACATGCTTAATCCACTCCCCTCTTCTTAGAGATCTTTTTTCCCCCATCAATTCCGACGATGAAGCTCGGATGACGGAACTGCCATGAATGGCAGTGGCGAAGCCACTGTCGGGGCCATTTCTGGCCAAAACAGGCATACCTAGTTCAAATGGAACACGCAATTGGAGTCCCCATAAGGTTTCGAGCATTTTCGTATAAATATTGTTCAATTCTTGCCACAGTCAATTTTCTGGCCACCGTGGACAGAATTTTCCCCTCTTCGCAAGGATCATGGAATCGTCGCTCAAATTTCAATTGGTACATTCTAAGACTCAATTCTCAATTTTTGTCTATAAAGCATTAATTAATGAATGAATTTAATTGAGTAATTAAGTAAATTAAATTGAATAACAAGAAATTAGGTTATTGAAATAGCCTAAATATATATAGAACATTTTTAGTTTTTTTTTTTTTTTTTTTTGTAAAATAAAATTAAATTGATTAAAGTATGTGGATATTGCGCATAAGCCGGATATATTAGCTTAATTGGTTTAGGATTTAGAATATGTATTGCAAATTAGTGTAAATTAGTTTAGAACATTGTCAAATAAATTACATGAACTATAATTATAATTAAAGGATTTGATATGGAAATAAGAATTCTTAGTTATTATTTATGTGAGTTAAATTGAGTTGATTATTTGTTGATGGAAGAGCTCAGTGGATATTGAGTTACGAAGATGGCTGATGGGGTATGATTGGTGATTATGAATATGGCAGATGGGAGGTGTTGTTATGAGTTGCCTGACGGATGGGCTGTGTGTATTGATTGATAAATATATAATAATATTGTGATATTTAAACAGGTAGATAGTCATATTTATAGGGGAGGTTCTGCCGAAATTTCGATAGAACCTAGACTAATTTTAATTAATAACATAATAAAATTTAAGCTTATTTAGATAAATTTCTATAATTTTGAACATAATAAAAAGTGCACTAATTATTTATTTATTATCATTATTATTCATTTTAATTATTCCATTAATTATTATTTTCCATTATATTATTTTTATTAGTAATTATTTATTTTATTATTGTTGTTATGTTAATTACTATTTATTTATTTATTTGCATTTGATTTTGGATGTAATTGTGCATTGCATACAATGTTTAATTGATTAATAGCTGCATTTAATTGCAATTACTTGGATTAATTGTGTTGTGATAAATGCTTTGCCTTGTATGTGCTAGAGTTGGGAAATGAAGTGGGTCACCATGGGTTTGTGAGGGCGGTCCACGAGACCGTTGTGGCCGTATGGGAAGACGGCCAAACCCTATGTGCATCTGATGATATGGATATGAATTAATAATGGAATAAACCACAGGTGGCGCCTTCCCTGTTAGTAGTGGAAAAGAAAAAGAGAGAATGGAAAAAAGCAATGAGGGAGGGCTGGGTCAAGTGAGGAATTAGACCGGTCTGGCCATGTATGGGATCGGTTCCCTTGGTGCACACGTATGAAGAGGGCGAGCCATATGTGAGGACGGCCTCGTGTGGGGTTCCAGTGACGCCACTGACTAATTTCCACGTGCAATGTTGATTATATGAAGATGTAATTAAATGTGAGCGCCGGGTGATATGCCATTTTGTTGACTGACTGCGTGAGCATATAACTAGTCAGATGACTAGATTGATATATTTACACATTGTGTGAATGCGTGTGTTGTGCAATAATTATTACTCCTTAGAAAAATCACATGTCTTGTTTAATTTTTCAGGAAGTAAGTTTCTCTTTAATTCGACGCAGGCTATGTTTCTTCGACGCAGGGCAATAAAGAAATTCTCCTAGTTCCATAATTATTTTGCTATATAACTATATGTATAAGAAGCTATGTATATCAAACAGTTAGTGACTCCGCAGTTGTAGAATTTACATATGTTTACTCGTGTATTAATATAGATGAAATGATTTTGAGAGCCCATATTATAAATGTGACGTATTGTAAATTGGATTCAATCTGTGAAATGTTTAAGATGTTAAATTTGGGCCGAGGTATAAAATATTTATAATTTATGAGATTTATTCTTAGCGTAGTAATATGCGGCTGAATGTTTTGAAATTTATATTTTGAAAAAAAAGTGGAAACTTTAGTGATTGCAAGCTTACAACGGGCCTCGGGGGCCTTAAGCTAATGTTTGAAATTTATATTGAAAAAAAGTGGAATTTTAGTGATTCAAGCTTACAACGGGCCTCGGGGGCCTTAAGCTTATCTGGGCCCTAATGTCGGTCAGGCCCATGGTTTCGGATCGTGACAGCATGTCATAAAAATACTAGTATAATATAAATATAAATATAAATTAACTAGTAGCTGATAAAAAAATAAAATTAATAATTGATTGAAACAATTCAATCCAACAATGGTTGTGTTCGACAATAACTTTTTAACACGCAAAACGTTATTTTTATAATGGCCGGTAACATATCATTTGAACTAGCTTTTAGAGGTTGATGTAACATTTTATAAAATGTTAACTCATGTAACATTTAGCTTTTAGTAAAAAGCTACTCAAACAATTAACAACTAAACGCTATTGAAACAACTAATAACTATCAAAATAATAAATTCTGCGAAACAGACACTATGTGTTGTTGAGTAATATTAGAATCTTTATGCCGACTAGGTGTATTATGGTAGGTCTTTTTACTTATGTGAGGAGTGGGCAGCCTCAAGTTTCAATCCTCCTGATCATAAGAAATTTTCATCAATTCAGTATGCTTTAATTTTTTTTAATAAATGATATGCTTTAATTTAAAACATGTAATTAATATCTATATAATCATATTTGGAATAAATTAAGAATTAAAAGTTGATTAATTTACTTTCATTTTTTAAAATACTCATGAAATCATAACCTTATGAAATTAATAGTAGGAAATTTGATTTAATCATTTTTACTCCATAAAATTGAATTCATAAAATTTCCTTTATATAAATACAAAAATCTTAAATTTATAAACAATTTCCAAACAATTTTACAGATTTTGTTTTAAATAATGGATTAAACAGTTGACTATGCTTAGAAAAAATGTATTAGTTTTCCACCTTATTTGTATTGAATATGGATCCAACAACTTGCCCACTCCATCTTCTTCGTATTCATTCTCCAAATCCAAATAGATTCATCAAAAATTTTTTTTGACTTAACCGAATTTAACTGAATCATTTTGGCCGAATTAATTTGATCCTTAACCAAACTGACATTGAAGAAAATGAAAACTTAATCGATCGATCGAATTTAACTAAAATTTATGATTAATCGAAATAAAAATTAACCGAAATTATTAATTACTATTTAATCAAAATAAAAATTAAAATATTTTTAATTTTTAATTTTATTATCTACTTAATCAAAACGACGTAACTTTAAGAGTCAACTAATTTAATTAATTGAACTAAATTAACTTTTAATCGAACATCAAAAATTTAATTTTTTATAATTTAATATTTATTCACTGAACTAAATTGGTCAAATTAATCGAACTGAATTAATCAAGCCGGATGTTCAACCAGATGTTGCCTGGAGAGTTATTGTCCGATTAAAAAAAACGTGGAAGAAATATTTATTTTAAGCCCGATACATATGCGATTCGAGCTAATGTAGCAGGACTCAAAAAAATATAAGCTTGAAGCTGTCTTTTGATTTTCTGGAAGTTCAAATCGTGGTCTATGCTATCGTCTCGCTCTCTCGTTCTCCCTTCGTCGCTTTCTGACCTTAGCAACAAGACAAGAAGCCCGATCTAGTTGGATAATGGATATATAGGATTTGAAGGACGATAAGCGATTCAACCTTCTCTCATTCGCTCTCTTCTTCTGGAGAGTCTGTCTATACTGCCGGCGACCCTGCCCCTCTCTTCGATTCTCTGATTTTTCCTTTTCAACGGTCAGTTGCCGTTGTTATTATATCACCGACGGCCTTTCCGATATCAATTTAATTTTTCGTTTTGCTGTCTGGAATAGGTGTAAGCTGCAAGGTGAGCATCTAATTATCGGTATGATTTTTCTTTTTCTGATAGGTTATTCATGTACAATGGAAATTTAAATGTTGTGTGGTAAAATTCCTTCTATTAGGCTTTGTATTATGGTGCTATTGCTTCCTGTGACTGAGAAGTTCTATAAAAGTCTTAATAAAAAATGAATTTTCATGTTAATTGATTTTAGATGATAACTTTGTTACCGCAGCAGACTGTTATTATATGTGCTAGAATGTCAATTTGGCCAATTGAATTGGCTTTTGCTTTTAAGTTTTTACGTGTGAAATAACTTATATGAGTAATGATCATATGTTTTTCTATATTTGAAAGGCTGTTTGGCCTTAATAAATCTAATTCTTTGTAAAAGTAAGATTCTAATGATGTTTGTTTCGTTGCGTTCAGCTTGGTTGATAGGGTCCAACCACTCCCAAATTAAACATAAACCACCGAATGCTGGGTTTCATATCCAGCCAACCTGACATCTCACTTCTTGAACTGGCTTTGACAGGTCTAACAACTGGGGGTAGACAGGCAACTGAGCCACCCTCCCAATCACCTTTCATCTCCAAATGCACCAAGCCTTTGTGGCTCTAGATCCTTCCATGTGTTCACCAAGATACCATTGTTGAAATCTAGACCCTCCTGTACTCATATATATGTACTCAGTGTCCATATGATCAATGTGGTCCAATACAGTTCAAAGATGTCCCTGGATCAACTTGGGTTGCACAACAATGATTCTTGTTTTTTAATGTACTTAGCTTCTACTACCTGACCATCTACAGAATAAACACGTATTGAGAATGTTAACTCTTCAGCTGTTGCCAAAGCTTCAGTTGCAAACAAAAAATTCATGGCTGATAGTCCTTTGCACAAGCTCGGTGCATCATGATTGCAAGTTTTGTAAGGAATATCACATTAAGACTCTAAAAGATTTACTTAATAAAATCTCAGTTCACACAATCAAAGTCCAAAATTTGTTCATCAAACAATTAATTTGCTTGGTTTACATCTTTCTTGTATTGTTATATGTGTCAAGGTACATGGAGATTGATAAAGCAATTAGAGAAAGTGATGATAGAAGGCTCAAGACCAAGTACAATAATGCCATCTATGTTATTCAAAGAGCTCTTGCTATATATTCGTGAGTTCCTTTCTATCTCCTTTAGGGTTTTGATTGATACTATGCAGTTGGTCATATTATAATTTGTAATCTGATTCATAATCTTTTTAGTAAATTTTGGCGAAGTATTGTAATAGGCTCCTTTTTGGTAGCAAAGAGAAGTTGGAAGAGAAAAATTTGTTAATTGCAAATGTTCTTGAAACTAGTTTAATTCCTCTTTGCCATCCAGAATTAATTAAAGCATTTGCACATTTGTCTGTTTTAGCTATATTTTATATGTTTGTATTTCAAATAATAGTTGAGTTCAGCAAGAAACATTTTCTTTGGACTCTGGAAATGTATTGATCTACTAATATCTTAATGAAAAAAGGTCATATTTGTTTGTTGGTTCCTTGTTTGCATTTGGTATGCCAAGAAAAATGGAATAAGTTGCGTGAAAGGGATGTTGATTATTCTCTTTGGGATCTAGTCAACATTGATTTTGACATATTTCTTGTTGATACTTGTCTGGATCATCTTGTTATCTTTAGGATTCTTAAATTTTAGTTGTTTTGCTGGTGTTTTGAATATGGAAATCTTCCATCTTCCTTACAATACTTGGAATTTTGTAAATGTGGAGTTTAGTGGGATAGAGATGAGGTTTTAAATGAGCTGCACTGCATTTGCCATTCTTGCTCTCCCAATTCATTCTTATTTCCATTGCGAGGAGATACTTCTACTTGATGTACTTTCATGATTTCATGCAAAGCGAATTCATGTGTTACCAAGCAAGCAAATGATTACTGTGAATGCTAATTTTATGGATTGGAATGGCTCCATACCTGTCTTTTCCCACTTTATGTTGATGCTTGGAAGCACTGACTTCATTTTCTGTGCAGGATTGAAGAGATTGCTTTAAGCTTCAATGGAGGAAAAGATTCAACAGTAGGTTTTCATCTACATTTTCTTGAGTAGTCCTACTGCCATTATCTTTTGTCAAATTAGTGAGCATAAACTTGGATTGGTAGGTTTTGCTGCACTTGCTTAGGGCCGGCTTTTTTTTGCATAAAGGTGGACAAAGCTGTTCCAATGGGGGTCTTATTAGTTTCCCAATTCGAACAATATATTTTGAGAGTTCCTCTGCTTTCCCTGAAATCAATTCATTTACCTATGAAACAGCCTCTAGGTGAGAAGATATTATTTTATGTAATTCAACTGTTTCTAAATATATTGCACAAGTGATGAATTATTTGTTTAAAAAGAAATACTGCTAGATCATTTGAACTGTTCTAAATTTAAGCATTTTGGATATCGAATCATCCAGTTTTGATGAAATTACTTTAAATGAGCAGCTATGGTTTGCAATTGGATATCATTAGCTCCGATTTCAAAACTGGATTGGAAAATCTGCTCAAAGCTAATCCTATCAAGGCTATTTTCCTTGGTGTTCGAATTGGTGACCCTACTGCGGTATGTTGATGCTCTATCTTAAAGAGGGATGCATTGGCCTCATAATTTCCCCTCTGCAAGATCCTTTTTCTGAAAGGCTGCTTTACATTTGAGACTGACAAAAGTAAAGTTCTTTATCTTTGCAGGTAGGCCAAGAACAATTCTCCCCTAGTTCGCCTGGATGGCCACCTTTTATGAGAGTGAATCCTATCTTAGACTGGTCATACAGGTCTAGTCGTGAACCATGAAATATCTCCTTTGATAGCTTATTCCTTTTCTTTTCTGCTCCTTATTTTTTATTTTTAGTTGATTGAACAAAATGAACAGCATTGAATAAAATCCAGGAAATAAAAGTTGATTCTTTGTAATTGGTGTTTGCCGATGATCACTGGACTGATAAATGTGTAACAGATCCCTTTTTAGAAGTGCTATAATGTTATGGCGCTGCTTGACTTAGGGTAGTTTTACTGCTATTTACGGTGTTTTTATTTAGTTATTCAGTGTTTATCATGTTATTATCAGTTTCTTTGTTAGTGGCTCTTAGTGGGGTGGTTAAGCAAGTAACTTATTGTAATGGGTAGTTATTACTGGGTAGTGGGTAGTTTTAGCTTTACATTTAGTTGTTTAAAAGGCTGCTATATCAGGAAAAATGTAAGCAGAATTGTGTGAAAAGGTTTTGAGTTCCTAAAACTCAGAGATTGTAGAGTTCTCTCTTAACGAGCTGTAGGAGATTGCAGATTCTCTCTAAGTTTGTCACCATTGATAGAAGGAAGAAAACTCCAAGGTTTGAGTTCCTAAAACTCAGAGATTGTAGAGTTCTTCTCTTAACGAGCTGTAGGGAGATTGCAGATTCTCTTCTAAGTTATGTCACCATTTTATGATAGAAGAAGGAAAACTCCTTCTAGATACTCATCTCAAACCTGACCCCTAAAGTCAAGGACCCATAACTAGCTAGATCCAAATTTGGGACCATAACATATAACCATAGAGCTATTATTCACAGACTTGTTTGCATAGATTGCTAATATTCCTAAAAGTGCACGAGGCAGGAAGAAGGCTAAATGTGTTTACTCGCTACTGCTAGTTGTCAGTGTTGATGTCTTGGGTGATTCGCCTCGTGCCATTTTTCTTATTATACCTCAAATACAGCCCATATTTACCTTAATTTGCTCCCCCCCCCCCCTTATCCCTCCAAAATTACATTTACCCCTTTCAAATCCTTGAATTCTTCTTATTTTTGTATTCTTAGTTTCCCTTCCTTTTATATTTGAGCTTTCAGAACTTGTAGTTTTGCACTTGCAACTCCATGAATTCACACCATTAGTCCTGCTCTTATATTTAATTGGCTCTCTAAGTTTTGATTTATACAAATCAAATGCATATTACAATGGTGTTTGGTTTTACTAATTTTAACTTTTGACTTAAAGTATATTTTTTAACAAGTCAATTTAAAAATAACTGGTCAAGTGTTTGGTAAAACTATTTAAAGGTTATCTTTAAGCACTTTAATGTTTTTTATATCCAAATTACTTAAATTTGTATGTTAATTAAATAAGAAGTCTAAGAATTTTATAAGACCAAGGGTAGTATTGGCATTTTAAAAACTTATTAGGATAGTATAATCTTTTCCATGGTCAGAATAGTTTTAAAATCAGCAGATAGTCATAAGTGAGGGCTTATAGCTTTAATTAGAAGGTTTTTCCACAAGCAATAAAATTTTCTCTCTATATACTTGGTCCTATGATAAAATCAATGAGATGACTTTTTGCTCTCGTCTATCATATTCCTGTTTCTGCCACTAAATCATGATGGTGCATGATCTGGATGTCCAAATCTGGAGTTCCTGAAATCTTGTCAAGTTGTTTTAAAAAAAAAAAAAAAAGGAAATGATGAAATTTTGATATTAGAAACAGAAAAGGCAAGATAAGCTAAAGTGAAGATGATGACAATACGGAGCAGAGCAGTTGTGATGTGTTCTGTCTCGAAGATTTTCCTTTCCTTTCCATTTTCCTCCTTTTACACTTCTGAAGAATTCTCTTCATCTTTTTATTTTCATCCTTGTACAACTTTTGGTTTCATTTAAATTTGGGCCTCTAAAACAATATCTGTGGCTCATGTTTTAACTAATTCTCTTGGAGACTAAAGTACAAGATATTTTAGCAAAAGGACTAAAGCATAACAAAATTTAAGTTAGGAAGCATATAATTCACTTTCAAAATAGTGAGTTGGAAGTGTATTCTATTAAGTCTTGATGGTGTATTAGTAATTTGTCCTCTCTGTTAGTTTCTCTGAAGAATTTAGATTTTATACCTATATAGTTCACACCTGTAGTTCTTTATGAATTATGATCCTAAAAATCAATATGTACCACCAACTGCTATGCTAAGTTTGCTAATTACAGTTCCTTTGGCTTGTATTTTCATTGTGTTTTAGTTTCACATGTCTTTACCTATATTGTATAAATGTACAATGTCCGGAAACAAATAAACTAGTGAAACGGGACATTGGGTATAATTTATGCATACAAAATAATAAATCTTTTTAATAATTAAATTTATTTTAGCTATGTTATAATATATTTTACTTAACTAATGTATTTTTAGTTTTTCCTATCTAATTTTTCAGTTTCGATAAATGCATTAGTGTACGTATTTTTAGTATTATACATGCATCGAAGCCTAGTATATGGTGAAAAGATCCAGGTTACTGCATGCAATTTTTTTCCTGACTTATTGTTTTAGCATATGTTCTCTACTTCTTTCCATTATTTGTAAGATTCATTTGATTTGTTCTTTCTACATATAAATATTGCAAAAATATTTTTTTCAAAGCAAGTGTTCTATGTTTACTCAGTGTCAATTAATCACGTAAGTTTTTTGAATTTTATTGAAATTATGCTATTGAGTCTTTTTTACTTTTGAATGCTCATACTAAAATAAAATTTTATATAGTATTTGAAATGGTTTCATATAATAGTAATCAACTTTTTGCATAATAATTATATTCTTATTTTACAAAAAAAAAGATCATATTTTTAATAATTTAATCTATATTCTTATAATTATAGCAATTTTATTTAATATTTAAATTTATGGAAATAACTATGTATACATGTGCAATACAAGTGCTAAAAAGACTAGCGTTGATTAAATCTGATTTTATTTATTAGTGATATGTTAAAGCTGGGAAAATTTTGGGAATTCTAACATATGTTTCTTTCACAGAGATGTTTGGGCTTTTATTTTGACCTGCAAGGTCCGGTACTGCAGCCTTTATGATCAGGGGTAATTCTTCCTCTGGCTTCTAAATGTTAAGACTTTTTGTTCTATATTTTATAGGTCCAAGCTGTGCTGCTTGATTTTACAAATTTGCAATTTTATGCGAGTGCATATTCATATGCTTGACCACTTTAATAGTTGACTAGTTTTATACCATATGCTTGACCACTTTAATAGTTGACTAGTTTTATACCTCTTCATTGATAATCTATGATATCCATTTTCCTTTCCTCTCAGATATACTTCTATAGGGAGCATACATGACACAGTACCAAATTCATTGCTGTCCATCAATGACTCCAGTTGTAAAGATAGATTTAAACCTGCGTATTTGCTTTCTGATGGAAGATTAGAAAGAGCAGGAAGAGTAAAAAAATTGTCTCCTTCCTCTACTGGACATTTTCCTGTTAATGATAGCCCAGGCGATGTGGATCCACATAAAAACAGCATGCTTGTAGCATCAGCCATTGCTGTTGGGGATGAGATTTTGTAAGTCCCCTGTTAATTGGTTTTCAATTATCGTTTCCATTCTCTTGAGTTAACTGCTGTATCATCTTCAAAGTTATCTGATTATTTCTCTCTTAGTGATTCATGTAACTATGGAGATTGGCTGGCTTTACAATACAGTCTTTTTCAACTGTTGAAACATTTTATCTGGCTTTGCAACATAGAGATTTTTCTATGCATATTTTTTCATTATTATTTTTGCTTGATTATATGATTCTCCAAAGTCAAGTTTGCATTAGCCCAATAATTACTCCATTGTTTGATGTCTTACCTAAGTTGCACATTAGCATTTCAAATTAGTTGAGTGATTTATTATGGATGATATTGGTGCTCAAACATTTCATGTTCACTTGTTTCAGAGAAAAAGAAAAGGTTCAAACTACGTAAAATAAAATGAAATATTTGATATTACAACCTTTTTATCAGGGAAAAATGAAAAACCCTTGAGAATCTGAACGATGTATATCATTTGAACTCTGCTTAATTTTGCTGTAGCCTAGTTATGTTTCTTTATTTCTGTTACTCGCTCTTATTAATGAAGTTTCCGGTTCTCTATCTATTCCATAGCTCAGGTTTGGCACTGTCGAGGATCAATTGGGACCTTCACTGTGTAGAAAGATCCGTTCAATTGGTTGGTCTTTATCACAAGCTGCAGTAGTGCGGAATGATGTGAGTTATTATCTATGAGACTGATTTTGTAAGTTAGTCAGTCTTGTAGCAATTAAATGCCATACCTGTCTAAATGCCATATGTACAAGATGGAATTGCATGCATATTATATATTGGAAACTGTACACCATGATGAGCTTCATGCTCTGTATTAGCAGATTTATTTGGGGTCTCATACAGAGCTCTAACATTAGATTTGTCAACTCTTCTTAAAATGTATATTTCATGAATTTCTCTTTGCACCAGATAGATTCTGTGGCTGCAGAAGTTGAGCGATTTAAATCTGCCAATGATGTGGTAAACAATTTTACTTTATTACTTTCAGATGTAACACAGTTACTCCTTACCAGTATAACAAAAGCTACATCTTTTTCTTTAAAATATCTGTTGTCTCACAGAGTTTACACTTGATGCTTATATAGGTATTTATGTATGGAGGGGTAGGTCCATTGCATTCTGATGTTACTTTAGCTGGAGTTGCGAAGGCTTTTGGGGTTCGCCTGGTAAGTGTTTTCATTTAAGTTGTACATGTATGTAGTTTGTACAACAAGTAGATCTTTATTGATTGTTCAATGTAGGCTCCTGATGAAGAATTTGAAGAATATCTTAGGCATCTTATAGGTGAACACTGCACTGGTGATCGAAATGAGGTAATATTTCATCTATATTATTTTGATATTCTGCCACTTTTAGAACAAAAGAAAATTAAAGGATGATTTTGTCAAGGTATGTTTCTGTTTTGTTCAAGGCATTGGATTAGTTTACTTTAGGCAGTTATTGATTTCTGCAGTCAGGCTTTATTGATATCATTTACTCTTTCCTGTTTTACTGTTGATTGTACTGCCCATTCCCTTCAATGTTTTGCTTTTCTGAAATATATTATACCAAGTGCAATTGAATGAATGTATTTCCACAATGCACTTTGTGGTACAATTCATGTAATCTTAATTTAGTCTACCATCCTTTCTTCAGATGGCTCTGTTGCCTGAGGGTATTACTGAATTGCTACACCATGAAAAGCTGCCAGTTCCTATGGTATGTGTTTGGAAGCTAAATTATGATATTGATGATGTGATTTTTACTCGTTCCTCTAAGCAATGTAATTAATGTGATGTATGAGGTGCTTGTTTGAATTGCTGTCAAGTGATTGTCTCTGCAGATAAAGTGCCAGAATGTAATCATTCTTGCGGCAACAAATGTTGCTGAGCTGGATGAGGAATGGGAATGTTTGACAGAATTAACAAAATCTTACAACCTGCTGCCAATGTTGGAACCATTTGTATTGAAACAAATTTTAACAAATCTTTCAGATGTACGTATTTTAATTTAGCATTTTTTACTTCCTCATTTCTGGCACTACAAATATGACATGCTTTTACTGCATTTCCAGTGGTGGAGCTGAGGTCGATTGCTTGCATACTTTTATTTTAATGATGACAATCAACCTGTACAATATTTGCCATTTTCAAGTTTTGGATGCTTGATAACCTGTTATTGTTCTGTTTCTCCTTACCTTCCTCAGTTGCTGTAGCTATCACTTAACTACAGTTTGATTAGTTTTGTTGAAATGTTTTCTTTCTTTGATACAAATACACTTGACTTCATTTAGATTAATCATGCCAGGCTTGTTTGGCAACTGTTACTGTCCATGCACAATATTGTTGGTATCAAAATAGAAAGATTAGTTTAGAAGTGAATAATTTTAGGATTCACAAGAGTTGATCATGCTGAGGTATCCAGACTGCATATTTTGACTTTAGGAATTTTAATTTTGGTCAACCTGTCAGTTCTTGGGAAATACTCTTCAGTGATCAGCATATGTGTTTTCAAGGTTGAATTGCATAAGTAGGCATATCAATTAAGCAATGCTGATAGAATAGGATGTTTTTCTTTTAATTCATTAGGCTCTGTTTGGGATTTGATTTTGAGCTGTTTTTAAAAAACATAATTTTTGCTTCAATTTTATTTTTTCAAAATTTTCTTAACTTCTTTTGGAAAACCATCATTTGGGAAAAGCTATTATCAATCTTTTCAGTTTTCCCAATCTATGTTTGACTAAGCCTTGCATGGCAAACACATTTAATCAAAAACAACCCAATTACAATACCAAAGAAGTACGTAGGGGTAACTTGTTTTATCTTGATGACGGCTGATTTGACCTGTCAGTTTATTCGTTCAAACAATGAAATAAGCTTATTTGTCTTATCTGAACCCTTTAGGAACCATGATTTGGGACTAGCTAACATCAATCTTTTCTCAGCCTATGATTTACCAAGCCGTGCATTGCAAACACAGTTAATAAAAAACAACCCAATTACAATGCCAAAGAACATAAATATTAAAGGCATGCCTGAGGCGCCCTTTTCATAGGGTGCAAATGCTGGAGCCTTGAACTTCAGAAGGCAGGCAAGGTGAATCAGGTGAGGGATTAGGCACAAAGGTGAATGCCTTGTTGCAGGCGTGAGGTGCAGAAAAAGGTTCACTTTGTGTTTTTAATAGCTAAACCTAAAAAATTTTAGGGTTTTGAGGTGTTATATACAGTCTTATGCTGTAGGATGAGTTTTATTTATATCCAAATCCAACTACATCTTTTCACTTAAAAAAAAGGAAACAAAAATAAAAACAAAGAAAAGAATCCTGCGATACAACTCCAGCAGGCAGCAGGTATGTCTTTAGCTTGAATTTTTCCTTTTTTTTTTCTTGTTTCTTTTGCTTCTTTTTTTCCCCCATGTTTTTGCTGCTTCTCCCCCCTCTGCTTTCTAATTCACTAGCTTAAAATATAGATGCAATGTCGCCAAAATTTTGCCGGAAGTTATGAGCTGATTGTTTGATTATTTGAGATATAATTTGAATCATTGATCACTTTTTATATTATAAATTAAAATTAAATTGTAATTGTTGGTTTAGTTGATATACAGTTTAATCAAGTAGGATCTGATTTGATTTATGCACCGAATTTGAATTTGAGTTTTCAGTTATAAACCTAGCTGCAAAAGAACATTTGGGTTAAAACCTACTGTTATTTTGTCAAATGGTGTGATTTAAAATTTTACATGTTTATATTATTGGCATGAATTTTTGTACAATTTTATTGTTATTTTATCTAAATTTAAAAAATTTTTTTGCCTCACTTCAGTCAGGCGTGTCCCTTTGCCTCACTCCTTGTTCTTGGGCTACAAGAGCTCTTTGCACCTTTAATTACTATGCCAAAGAAGCACTTAGGGGTCACTTTTTTTTTTTTTTTTTTTTTTTTTTTTTTTTTCTGTAGTTTGATTTATCACCAATCTTGAATTTGAGTTTTCAGTATAAAACCTAAGGCTGCAAGAAGAACATTTGGGTGTTATAACGCTACTGTTATTTTCAAATGTGGCTGATTTTAAAATTTTACATTATGATTTATATTAATTGGGCCATGAATTTTTTGACAATTTATTGTTATTTTATTCTAAATTTAAAAAATGTTGTTTGGAAACTTGCAATCACTTCAGTCGGCGTGTCCCCTTTTGCCTCACTCCTTGTTTCTTGGGCTACAAGAGCTCTTGCACCTTTAATTACTATGCCAAAGAAGCACTTAGGGGTTCACTGGTTTTTTTTTTTTTTTTTTTTTTTTTTTTTTTGACGGGGCTTCATTCGAACGATGTCACATTTGTTTGGTTGCAGACAATGAGAATAAACGTTATGTGCTTAGATCCATCTAAGTCCTGAACCCCTTTTGTTTTTTTTTTTTTTTTTTTTTTTTTTTTTTTTTGAGGGCTTATTCGACATTCAATTTATTTGTTCAGACAATGAAATAAACTTATTTGTCTAAGCTGAACCCCTTTTGGAAAACCATGATTGGGAAAAGCTCAACCATGATTGGGAAAAGCTAATATCAATATTTCCCCATAGCTATGGTTTACTAAGCCTTGCATTGCAAACATAGTCAATCAAAACAACCCAATTACAATGCTAAAGAAGCACTGAGGGGTCACTTGTTTTATCTTATTGACGGCTTATTTGGTTTTCAATGTATTCATTCAGACAATAAAATAAGTTTATTTATCTGAGCTAAACCAATAAGCTACTTATTTGAATTTGCAAGACAAATGTGTCTGAATGAAAAAGCTTCCTTTTAGAGCTAATTCAATAATTTCTATGACTTGATGAAAAGACAAAACTATTCCCTACAATTATACAATGACAATGTCTACTATTTAATCTTTCAACAATCAGCTCTTGATACTAATACTTAATTATTCAGCTCAATAAGTTGTTTATTCATATTCAACATTCAGAATTCAGACCAAATGAATGACTCCTTAGTCAAAATATTATGGTTAGTACTAGAATGTTGATGAAGATACATGTGATATTGATATCTGATATTCGTTTGTTTCATTATTTGTAATATCACCTTGATTTTGCCCCCAATAAATGCAGGTAGAAATTGCTCAACCTCTATCCAAATTGTGTCTTGACTTCCCAGATATTAATATAGGTAAGTTTCTCTAAAATTACTTCCCAGATATTAATATATGCGGTCTCTCATTCTGATGTTACTTTTGCATTATGAAGGGGTTTATCGGAAATCCAGGAATGGGACTCTTGTAATTAATTTTGAAGGCAAGGTAAAAAGAAAACTTTGCCTGTGCATCCAACTTATTATTGTACTTCCATATTTAAGTTATTCCTCTAATTTTAACTACTACACAAAACTGGTTACAGAATCAATTGCGGATTGATTTAGCTGTAGAAGCATTATGCAAGTTCTTTCATCCTGGGGCATTTTCTGAAATTCACTAAATTGGTGATTCTGCTCATTTTTTAAGTATTTCCTTCTGAAGCTTGAGATTCTGATTGCTCATTTGATGGTATTACCTGTCGGTAACATAAAAGGAGTGGGAGGCAGCCTTGTGGTCAATGTGAAGATCAAATGTGAAGATTAGAGGAGGTTCCAGTTGGTAACAGAATTAAAAAAACAAAAAAAAAAAAAAAAAAAAAACAAGAATTAAAAAAAACAAAAAAAAAAAAAAAAAAAATAAAAAAAAAAAAAAAAAAAAAAAAAAAATGGGGGAAATCAGAGGAAACTTTAAAAGACTATAGAAAAAGATAACTGCACAAAGCATTTTATGGTTAAGGAGGAACCAGATTGTCATCGTCATAAGCTAACTGGTTGAAAGGCTTCGCCTCTGCCTTCAGGCAAAAGCTAAGTGAAGTTCAATGCTCTTCAAATAATTGAAGAGGTTTTGGTGTTGAACTGCAAAAGAATTCCTTATGAATTATCAGCTTTATGTTTACTCAATTTCAAGAATATTTTGCTAGTTTCATTACTTTTTTATTTATCATCGATTTGTGCAATTCTTGTTTTCGCCAAGTGGTTCAGTCAATTATGTGATACAATGATTAATGAAAATTTGGAAATGTTGCTTAGATAGTTTGGAATAAATTCACACAATTTATTTCATTTGCAAATGACTTCTAATAAATTTTTATGTTTGGGTTAATCTAGGCATGGCTACCAGTTCAGTTCTAACCGGAATCGAATTGCACTATAGATGAACTGAAATCGGACCGGAATCGAACTAGCGGTTCAAAATTTTAAACCGGAATCGACGGTTCAATGGCTAGTTAAGGTTCATGTGAATGTTAAAAAATGAACTTGAATCGGCCTAGAATTGGTAGTTAACCGGTAGTTCTGGTTTGGTTTGAATCGGATGCACAAATAAAATTATCTGTAGCTTAAAATTTTTTATAAAATAAATTTATATCACTTGATTTGACTGTAATGATTTGATTTATAGTGAAGAGAAGTATGGCACATAATTTATAAAAAGTGGTGAAAAAAAAGTACACATGATGGTACATAATTTATAAAAAGTAGGGAAAAAAAAAGGTAGTTGACAGGTGACTTTTAATTTTTTTATTTTTGGTAAATAAATTTTATTCATTTTTAATCAATTATTTATTTATTTATTATAATTTATTAAATTAATCAATTATTTATTTATTTATTATAATTTATTAAATTATCCCAAAATATAGTTGTTATTTTTCTGTTATGAGGGACAATTTGGAAAACTAATAAATGAAAAATATGTATAAATATGATGAGTGGATTTTTTTTTCACAACCAATTATATCCTAACTCTCCTCTTATTCTCAATCAAAATTCTCTCAAATTTTTATAGTTCATTATTTTTCTATTGCTTTATTTTCCTTAATATTGAAATTATCTATTGTTTATTTTTTATTTTCATATATCCAATTCTAAATTCCTTCTAATCTCAATTTTTCCATTCATAATTTCTCCCTCATTCCATTAATTTCATATTCTTATTCTTTTTTTTTTCATAATTCCATTTAAAAACATGGCACACAATTCACAAAGTTCTAAGGAAAAGTAAGTTACTCAAAGTATGAAAGAAATTGATTCAAACGATCCATTGATTATTTTTCACCACAATTTAATGATGAAGATCAACATCAAATTCTAGTTGAGGAACGTTATATTCGTCGTTATCCACCACAAGAAGCAACATCTCCTAATATTTCAATAAGTAAACTACCAAAATTAGATATTTTCAAGAAGCACTTTGCAAAAATTGTTCAAGATAATAGAGAAATCAATGCGGTTCGATGTAATTATTGCAAAAAAGAATATGCATTCAAGCTTGGAGGAGGATGTAATTATTGCAAAAAAGAATATGCATTCAAGTTTGGAGGAGGCTATGACACTCTCAATAGGCATTTAAAATCACATCATCCAAGTAAGGTAGGAATGGATGCAACTCAAACTTAATTATCGTCATCAAGGTATGATGATCCTAACACTCCTCTATTTAAATATAGTGATGAAACTAATAAAATTGAAATGGCTAAATGGTTTGTATGGAACGATTATCTTTTTCATTTGTGAAAAAAATTGGATTTAATAACTATCGTAAAAAAGCATTAAATCCTAAAGCAAAAAGGACACCTAGGAATACACTTAAAAGAACTATCTTATCTATTTATTTAAAAAAAAGAAATTTTAAAAAATGTATTTGCAAATTTTGATGGTAAAATTGCTATTTGTTGTGATATTTGGTATGATGCATGTTAAACTCATTCTTATATGGGTGTTACTGTTAGATAAACTTTAATATAGCCCAGATCTTATTGTTCATATAATTTTGTTTAATAAGAACACACAATAAACGGAAGCGTAGCTTGATCCATAGTTATTAATTACCTGGTTGCGGCAATTCTAATTCTTACCGTGACAGTAGATCTATGTTTCTTCACTCTGGCCTTTTGTCCATAAGTTCTCTCTTAATGGTTAGAGAATTATCAACAGCAACGAGAGTTTTCTTTTCACGTTATCAACAGCAACGAGAGTTTTCTTTTCACGTTCTCTCAAACAATCTATCACCGCTATGTGTTTGAGGTGGCCGTTAATCTCTCTTAACATACGCTTTTGATTTCCTTGATCTATTTTATAAGGCAGAGGAATGACATTAAAACCCTAACTGGTCCTCATTTTATTAAGCCAAATAACCGTTATTTTGGACCACCTTAATTAGAACTAGCCCTTTAACTATATGGGCCACATAGATTATTAAAGTAATCTAACAATCTCTCACTTGACCCATGTGCATTTCTTGAATTAATCATGTTAACTTAATTAGAATTAAAGTAATCGGATTATGGCGGTCACAAATCATTAATCGACATGATTCCTTTCATACATCACAGACCATCTGAATTCATAAGAACTTTAATTGAAAAATGATTCAACAAACAATACATTGTTACAATCAACATTATTGTTATCTCACTTAAACCATTATTATATACATCTATAATATGGATAACACATAAATAAGCAAAAACACATCTTTAATTGAATTTCCAAGTGTCACAATAATATGAGCAAAATAACCATATGTATAACCATTATTGTATACATCTATAATGTGGATAACATATAAATAAGCGAAACACATCTTTAATTGAATTCCCAAGTGTCACAATAATATGAGCAAAACAACCATATGTATATATATATACAAGTTTAAACACCATGCTAACAAGGACTTATCTATAATGCCCATCCTATCAACATGGCCAGTGAAGATTTTGGGCGATAAGGCTTTAGTTAGCGGATCCGCTATCATCAGGTCAGTACCGATATGCTCAATTGACACTTTGTGTTTTTGCACTTCTTCTTTCACAAATAGGTACTTTAAATCCATGTGCTTTGATCCATGTGCTTTGCACCCTTAGAATACCTATCGTTTTTAGAGAAGAAAACAACTGCGGAATTATCACAGTAAATTCTCAACGGTCTAGCTATACTGTCAACAATACCTAGACCTGAGAAAAAGTTCTGCAACCACAACGCATGAACAGTGGCCTCAAAGCATGCCACAAATTCAGCCTCCATCGTGGAAGTAGCAATGACATACTACTTTCCACTTTTCCATGAAACTGCTCCTTAAGCTAGGAGAAACAAGTAGCCAAATGTAGATTTTCTCGAATCTACACAACCGGCACAGTCTGAATCCGAGTATCCCACCACTTCTAGATAGCTGGACTTTCTATAGGTGAGTATATGATCCTTGATGCCTTGTAAATACCTAAGTACTTTCTTTGCATCTTTCCAATGGTCCATCCCGGGATTACTTTGATATCGCCCTAACATTCCTACGATGAAACTAATATCTAGTTGAGTACATTTTTGAACATACATTAAGCTCCTAACTACTGACGCATAGGGAAAAGACTCCATCTCTTTACGTTCCAAATCATTATTAGGACATTGCATTTCGCTGAACCTATCTCCTTTCCGAATTGGAACTATTCCTGCGGAGCATTTATCCATTATGAATCTCTCTAATACCTTGTCAATGTAAGCTCTTTGAGACAATCCTAATACCTTGTCAATGTAAGCTCTTGAGACAATCCTAACAAATCTTGTGATTTTTTATTATGTAATATTTTCTATTCCTATCACATAGGATGACTCACCCATATCTTTCACAATTTCAAAAGTTCTTAGAAAGATGAAAACCCTTTTACATCATGTAACGCTGCCACCATCATTCGTGTAGCAAAGAAGAATGTCCGTCAACATATAGGACTAACACATGGACTTTGCCTCCCACTCGACCTTCATAATAATACACTGATTCAACAGTGTTTTTCTATAATCCTCTATAAATCCATATGAAGTGATGGTATTATTGAACTTAAGATACCATTGACGGGAAGCTTGCTTCAGTCCATATATTGACTTCTTTAACTTTCCAAATTTTTCTTTCCTGTGACTACAAATCCCTCTGGTTGGTCCCTATATACTTCCTCCTCTAAGTCACCATTAAGAAAGGTCGTCTTTACATCCATTTGGTGAAGCTCTAGATCGTAATGGGCCACCAAAGCCAAAATAATTCTTAAAGAGTCCTTTTTGGAAACTGGAGAAAATGTCTCTTTATAATCAATGCCATCATTCTGAGTGTAACCTCTAGCAACAAGTTTGGCCTTATATCTTTCAATGTAGCCCTTAGAGTCCCGTTTGGTCTTGACAACCCATTTACAACCAACTTGCTTTGAACCCTTAGGCAACTCGACTAAGTCCTAGACTTGATTATCACTCATTGATTGCATCTCTTCTTTCATGGCATTAAACCACTTTTCAGAATTATTACATTCCATGGCTTTTTAGAAAGAGACTGGATCCTTATCAATGCTCAATTCACATTCATGCTCAAGTGAGTAAACCACATAATCACTAGAAATAGTTGGCAAGTGAGTAAACCACATAATCACTAGAAATAGTTGGCCTTCTTTGCCTTTGTGACCTCCGTAATGCTATTTCTTGTGAAACCACTTACTCATTCGTGACTTGTTCATTATTTACTGGTTCATCATTTATATGGTCATTTTGTGGGTTTTGAATGTTGTTTTGTTGTTGGACCATGTTATTAAACTGTGATAGAATAAGAGGAACAATAATTGAAGAAGAGACATTAGGAGAATCCATCTGAGTTGAATTTCTAATCTGAATCTCTTGCACATCCACTTTATGTGATTCAACACTCCCACTAAATTGGTCATTTTCAATAAACCAAGCATTACCAGACTCAATAATTCTCGTACTATGGTTAGGACAATAAAATTTGTATCCTTTTGATTTTTCGAGACGTCCTATGAAAAATCCACTAACCGTTCTAGCATCAAGCTTCTTTTCATGTGGATTATATATCCTAACTTCTGCTAGGCAACCCCAAACATGAAGATTTTCATGTGGATTATATATCCTAACTTCTGCTAGGCAACCCCAAACATGAAGATGCCTTAAACTAGATTTCCTTCCTGTCCACAGTTCATAAGGGGTCTTAGGAACTCCCTTATTAGGAACCCTATTAAGTAAATATGTAGCAGTCTTTAATGCATGCATCCATAACGATAAAGGTACAGTACTGTTACTTAAC